GCGGGATTCGAACCTCGGCCGCGATGGTCGCATTTGCGCGGAGGCCAAATGCTAGCCGGCCTACTACATATTGTGCGATTTCAGGGAAGGTTAATCAACTTTAAATCTTCAAAACTACAGGTAGCCCTTTCATGCAGCCTCTGCCACAGCACGGGTTACGGCGTGGGACATAAAATCCATAAACCAACTAACTATTCATACATTTTAATTAGAATATCTAGAATTTCACGTCCCTGAACCACAGTATGATTAAGAAAAAGGCCGTAGTGGAGGGCTCCGGAAATATCGGTCACATGGTGTTCCTTGAAATGCACTGATGTCGCACAGTGCGCGGACCTCTAGAACTTGGTTTGCATAGGCGGGCGCACAATTGGAGGGGGGAGGGGGGGACGCGAGCTCGATATGCTACAGTTATGCTACAACAAGACGTTGAAGAAAAAAAAAATCAAGACGTTCCCTTACGGGAGCCGAAACGTCTCGCTTTTTTTTTTTGCTTTTATCGAGGTCAGCGCCTTGCGTTGTCTTCTTGTCTGTTCTAGACCAGACCGGTTTCACGTCCAACTCTCAATTTCGTCCTACATGTAACTTAGAAGTGTGGCAGCTTGGGCTAGTTGGTATGGCATGACGATAGTTATAGCGCGAGAACAAAACGACGTGTCTTTCGTGTCCTTCTTGTCTCTGTGTCGTCGTTTTGTTCTCGCGCTATAACTATCGTCTTCGTCCTACAGTCGGCTGCAGCGTGCGCCGCGTGTTGCGTTTTCCTGCGTTTCGTCAATCGACAACGACAGACAGCATTCGCGAGACCGGTCCCCAAAAAGTAGAACTGACGACAGACAGGAGGGTTCGATTCTCCAGTGCGACTCGGAGAATGCTCGGCAGATCGAAAAAAGGCGATGGACGGCCGGGCCCATCGTAGGAGCTGGGAAATGCCGCCCGTCATTGTGCGAGATGAAGAAGGCCGAGGGGGAGGGTTCTATTTGCCTCCCCCCCTCTTTCCTTTCTATTCTCCGCCGCGATGGCCTTGAACCGCGCGACCGCGAGCAGCGGACGGGTTGACATTTCCCACAGGCGCGGTTGGGTAGCTCTACGACGTACGCGACGACTCCTTTCGGCGTTTCATCTTTACTCGACGGATGCCACCGATGTTCCGACGCGAGCGTATTAATTGGGTCTTCAGATCGCTTGCCGACAACGCTGCGCGCTACCCAAGGAGGTTATACTAAAATATAACCTCCTTGGCTACCCAAGGAGGTTATACTAAAATATAACCTCCTTGGCGCTACCATATCGTACGAATTTTAGGAGCAAAGCAACTCATGACCGCACAATGTCCCTCCGTCCATAAAAGCCACCGCCCGGCTTCTACAGCGGATGTAGAAACCACTGAAGTGATGAAGATCAGCGCTAGAACTCCAAACATATGTGAACAAAAACAAAATGTTATCAGAAGGCTGTTAACCAGAACAAACAAAATGAAAGACCACAACGCCGGAATAACCAACATTTAACGACCCATCAGACGAAGGATATGACAGAACAAAATGTTAAGAACAAAACTGTGAACCAGAACGAAATTGAAGGCCACGATTCGTGATCCGGTGACCACTGTTTCCTGACATGATTTGGCCGCAAGTAATACACCCACAAAGTAAATAAACACTCAACGACAAGCACAAATCATGTCAGTAAGCAAGTACTAACTAGGCCAACAATCAGTATTGGTACACTGTTTCGCCCCATCATGCCCGCCACGGTGGTCTAGTGGCTAAGGTACTCGGCTGCTGACCCGCCCGTCACGGGTTCGTATCCCGGCTGCGACGGCTGCATTTCCGATGGAGGCGGAAATGTTGATTGTAGGCCCGTGTGCTCAGATTTGGGTGCACGTTAAAGAACCCCAGGTGGTCGAAATTTCCGGAGCCCTCCACTACGGCGCTCTCATAATCAAATGGTGGTTTTGGGACGTTAAACCCCACATATCAATCAATCAATCAATCAATCATCCCATCATCAGTATTCACTTCGGGAATATGCGTGAAATTCTGGACTCCTCGCCATTCTCTGAAAATAAAAATAAAAAGACGATGCCTTATTCTCTCCTGACAAAATGATATTATTATTATTATTATTATTATTATTGTTAATGTTATTATTGTTATTATTATTATTGTTATTATTATTATTATTATTGTTATTATTATTATTGTTGTTGTTGTTATTATTATTATTATTATTATTATTATTATTATTATTATTATTATTATTATTATTATTATTATTTAACAATACTGTAGGCCTTCTTCAGACCCATACAGGAAGCGGGCATACATCATCACAGGTAACCAAGTAGATACAAAGTTCAGGAAATACAATATTTTGAGGGACGATACGCACAACAGCGTAAGATACTATACAGTCAAGAAGGGGAAAAAACAGACGACAGTGTGAGCGCTACACTATCGTCTGTTTTTTCCCTTCTTGACTGTACGGAATCTTTCCTTCACGCCCAAACTGAGCTGCGCTAAAGCCATATCATTTTATCATGCACCAACTCACCAAGTCCGCAGCACTTGTCTTATCTGACGTTTTGGCCGTCTTTCTGGCACACCTTGTGACGCAAGAACAGCGATTCACTGGACGAAATTTACGGTACACTCTCTCGATTGGTCTATTTATGCGCGAAATATCAGACGCGAATAGTCTTGCACTGCAGGTACAATGCAGCCGCCCTACCGTTCTTCCTTGCCTCCCATGAGCGTCGTGCGTGGCGCGCTGACGTCACTTCATTTTGTGTGTTTCCGACTGCGCGAACAAGCAGAGATAGTAGCGTGCAGTAGCCTATAAGTGCGAAACGTTGTAGGCTCAACGCTTACTGCTGACGTACACGTTGCTTTCAAGAAGTGCAAGAAGTAAGTGAAAAAGAGGAGATACCGTCTGTACTCTAAAGGAATTAAGGCGAGGGGCAAACCGCTCCGTCGTCTTTGAGCTATAGAAGTGGTAAGGGGCCTTCTCACCGGTTCAGAGTAACATTTCGGCAAACCATACACCAAATTGGCCAATCTGGTAAGATAATAGTATAGTATACGTTTCGGCTGGCTAACCAAACAAGGCTTGACGTCATAGATTTTGACGGCGTCTGCTTGCTCCTACGTAGTTACTAGTTCGTAACATTGAAGCACACCGTCATCTGATGGTGCAAGAGACTTCAGATCCCACGTTCCGAGAAATTTCGTTGAGCCCATGACGGCAAAATAGCAAAAAAATGCACTCTGAAATCCGCGAAGTTGAAGATTTCTGCGCGAAATTCAAAAATGATAATTGCACCTTGATTTTCTCCTCCACTAATAAGCCTATGATGGCGAAATTAACGACATTAGAATTCTTAGAGTACAGTTTATCGATCTAAAACTGTTCAGTGTTTCGGTGTACTGGATTTCGCGCTGCTCCTATGCCAAATAATTACTGGATTTACGTATTTAAAGAAATTATTGCGTACAAAAGCACGTGATCTGGTATGGCGACCCCACCTACCTGAAAGCCCGCGGTCGTTTCGACTCACCATGAACGCCGTTTTCACTGCTTTGCGTCGTATATTTGCAGCACATCCGTGCTTGGCGCGCTCCGAGGATGATCCGAATGAACCGGGTTACGGCCAAATATAATCGGATTAACGAGTTTGGCGCCATTGGACAATGTATACGCTGGAAAAAAACCACAGAACTCGTCACAATTATCCGGATTTAACTATATAACTACACTACATAACTGACTGGTACCACACAGAAAAGAAAAGCAGTTACAAGCGTACCTTCTATGCACAGGCGTCAGTTGTAGAAAGGGAATGGGGTGACGGGAGCGGATATGGGGGGTGGGTGGGGGATTGACCTTTTCTCTTCCAAAACTTCGCTGGTGGGAGTGCCATCCATGCGCTGTTTCCATCACCAGCGTGAGCAAGTACTGCATGACTCTTAGATTGGAGCCCTCGGTACAGTCAATATATGTGACCAAGGCATAGCGTAACACCTCGCCTAAGTGGCAGTGAATCAATTCACGTCGCGTCAATAAACCACTCCGACTGTATCTTTCACCGCAGCGACAACGTACGCTGTATCACAATAACTATCAACAGCGTGTGAAACGTACGCTGAGGTATTTTCGCCAGCTGTAATCTATACGTATACGAGGCGTGATCGTGCGCGCGCATCTTGACGCTTGAATTCGTGCGAAGCTGTAAGCGCAAGAAAAATAATGTTAGACACGATAAGGAATACGAACCAGAGCGCCACCACCACGTTACTTTCCCTACAAAAGGCCGCGAACCTCAGCGACATACCTTTGTAGGAGACAAGGACATAAGCCAGGTAAGTTTGCTCTGCGATCATGTCGACGTTGCGCGATGCATTTCGTCGAGTCCCTGTTGACAGGCGTCCGTGACTATGTCTTAACGAAAAGCTTCCGACGAAGGACAATCTGGTGTGGCCTAACTGCTTGCCTTAACACTCCCGCACGAGTTAGTTGCATTTGTGGACGCCCCGCAGTGCAAACATATTGTAGCGCTCATGTTTCACTGATCCAGGAAGGCCCATTAAGAGAGCGATTGCTGGTTCCTTTTATACGCGATCTTCTTTAATCTTAGTTCACGCGAGAAGAGATGTTAAGCATGCCCGATGCTTGCTATAGGGGCGTGTAGCTGATGAAATCACTATATCGCGACTTACGAAAAAAATTTTGCGCATCTGTCTCTTCTGAAGTTCAGACTTGTACTCGCTCGTGCCATGTACAGCCGTAAGCGACGCTTCACATTCGTGTATTATCAACGCTTCCTTGCAGCGTACTCGAATGTCGCTTAGTGAACTTTTCGCTTAAATTGCTGTTACCACCACCTGCGTTCAGCCGCATTGGCTTTGACAGGCGATTTCGGCATTTTTCCTCGCACAGATATCGCCTACCGAATGCAGTTCGTATCGCTCTATGTGCATAATTATTCGAATTGGCTTCCGCAGGTCCTCACCCGCCCCTCTCCGCCCACACTTAGCCATGGCTTTTTGGTGGGTGATCATGCTGCTATCGTCGCAAGTGATCCTCGAGGACCACACCGTAGACGCAACTTTCGACTTCAGCTTCCGGTGGCTGCGGGACGAGAGCACCATCTCGACCGAAAACTGGAACGCAACTTCTGCCGCAGTGACGACTGGCACAACCGCTTCTCGGACGACGCCCCCAGATGTCGTCACTATTGAGGCTGCGTTGCTCGGGAGGAGTACGCAAATTCCCGTCGACGCGGTCTCCACGGCTGCCCCGACTTCAACTACCTGGACAACTGAAACTACCGACTACAGCACTACGGCGACTACCGAGGCCACAGTGCCGGGCGCCACGCCCGTGTCGCTGGATGACCTGGCGCTACAGATCGCCAATGTGCCCGATCCGATTCTGCATGTGGTGGAAGACCGGCACGGATCGCCGTCCTTCGTGATCATCAGCGGACGCCATGGGTCGGGTGGAGCCGCTACGGATGCTACCACTACACCTACTACTACACTGTCAACGGATGCTAGCACTACACCTGCTACCACTACGCTGACTACGGAGACCACTACTTCACCGGCCACCACTACACCTGCAGCGGAAGCCCGCAACACGCCGCCGCCTTCTACAACGGTATTCGGTGAGACATTCCAAATGCAGTACTCCGGTATTCTTGCTAGACAACACGTCGTCGTCTTCCAACTGGGACTGGGAAGACACAAAAAAAAAAAAAGTCGTGGCGGAGGGTCACTGCACAAAACACGCGCTCAAATTTCGTCCCACCGTTTCTTTTGTTCTCGAACCACGTAGCCTATCGCTTCGATCCCATAGTTTGTCTCTTGCGCAGACCCACATTGCACTGCGCGGATAAAATTGTGCACGTTAGAGGTAGGTGGACTGAACTTTATCTGACAAAATTTCAGGACGCTCGCTAGCATGTATCCAGCAGACTCCTTTACCTGAAACCGTTGAGGTGGCATTCAGTCCTTAACGCTCTTACTTAAGCAAAAGTGCTCGCCAGCGGTTGTCTGTGTCGACAAACATTGCCAATTTTGGAACTCTCCACACAATACACGGTCCACCGCATTAACAGAATGCTTACGTCTAGCAGTGGTTCATTTGAGCACAGACAACTACGCTTGGGCTGCGAAGAACACTGACGCCCACATATCGTCGCAGCCTACAGTTGCAAGCGGCTCGCGTGTCGGGAATCCTTCTGCGCATGCTCCGAAGTGAGCCACATTCGCGTGCACGTTGGTGGTAGTGATAACAGAAAAGACGCCCAATTTCTGCAGCCCGTTAGGGAGCACGGCGCAGCGTAAACGTAGTCTCCGGTGTTGAGTAGAATAACCTGTTTGTCCAACAGCTGAACCTGCCTCTCTTCACGCTTCGCAGGTTCCACCCTTCCGGCCGCCCCCAACACCACTTCTCCGTACCTGGTCCTGCTACGTTACCTCCGGCCATTAATCTTTGGCCGCTTTGGAGGCGCCCAATCGACAACCAGCGGAACAGAGGCGACCCCAGCAGTTACTCCGGCCCTTTCCACCATTCCTCCCAATTCAAATCCAGCCACCACGGAAAGTACACTTCCCACCACGGTCGCAGCTGCTACAAGTACTACCACGGTACCTAGTAGCACAACCCAGTCAACCACCACGCGGACCACAAAGGTCCTGGACGAAGACCTCGCCTCGTACCCGGCTGAATTCAGGGTGACCGAGCTTCCTGGCCCATTCACTACAAAAGATCCTCTCGGCAACGCAAACGCCACCTTCACCCGAACTCTCCCCACTACGCGTCAACACACCGCCCGCGGTGCTGCTTTCGACACGACCGCAACACGGACCCCACCGCCACCGAATTCCTTCGTCTCCACCACCGTTGCTCCCGGGACAACCCCGGCCCGCACCACCGTCGCACTTGCGAGCGACTCCGTCAAGGCACGAGCATCTATTTTCTCGACCTCGCCCGTCCTCGGCGAACCTACTACTCCCGTCCCTTCGGTTACCAGCGACGTAACGGACGCCGACGCTCCAACCACTCGTTCCTTCGCGACACCTGCCACGGGTACCACGGTTACCGGCGAAGATCTCTCTACGCCTGAAGGTGCCACCACTGAGGTCCCAACGTCGGCCCGGACCGGCGCACCAGGCCAGCTGGGTTCCTTGGTATCTCGTCTGACCGACGAGTCGGCGACCATGGGTGGCCTTGACGGAGTGACCTTTGCGCCCTGGCCGCGCACGACGGCGCTCAAGGCCACCGGCGGGGGCGACGACGAGCCAAAGTATCGCTACTTCTACGACCCCATGCAGGTCATGCAGATTCTGTAGGCAGTCTGCACTGCTCGCTTTTAAACCCGTGGCGGTACTTTTTAATCCCATTTCACCGCTTCATGCGCACCGCCGCGCTCCATTACCCACCATTGCATGCCAGCGCTAAAGATGCGCAATAAAACGTGCCTACTCGAACACTTGCCTCTCGTCGTGTGCGAGTATATTGTAGACCATGCAACAGCAGCGAAAAACCACCGTCATTATCGTTTCTTGGCTGACAAAATTGGCGTGACAAAAACGAGGACGGGCATACTAAAGACCAACTACAGCGCTGTAGTTGGTCTCTTATTCTCGTTTCTGTCGCGTCAATATCTGTTCACGGTCGAAGAACACAAACTCGTCCCTTCTGACGCGACGGTAACCACACCGTTCGTGGCAGTCGGCGTCCTAATGGAAACGAAGCGTTATCGCGCCCCGGAGAGGAACAAACGAGCGCGTAGGAAAACGGGAATCCTTCGAGTGATCTCAATCTTAAGAGCCACTAGTTTTGCGGGCACAGGAAGCGTAACCCGCTCGATGGGTGAAACCAAAAGGCAGCCGCATGCGCGAACCATAGCTCGCGCACCGCTACAGAAAGGCAACAAAGAAAACCGGACATCTATCGATGAAAGTGGGAAGTTTTCACGTAATACTGCAAGGTCAGCACATGCCGAGCAAGAAAAAAAAATACTCAAAGGCACAAGCGATGACTTATATGTATGTCATTGATCCTGAATGGGTTAATGGCTCCTACAGTGCTATAACTGCGCTCTAGGTGATGGGCTAGCGAGATCACTCGAGCTCGTAGATCCGCCGCCGTATTTAAAATACCCGCGCTTACACCCGATTGATCAGTGAGATCACGTGACCTGCCGGCTCTAGCTGTGGCGATTTAGCTAAAGCCCCTTCATCACGTCTACTGGCGCTCGGGTAACGCATGGAGGGGCTTTAGTTAGTTAACAGATATATTTGAATTGTGCGCGCTTACACTGTTCGTCGAAGCATGATCACGTGACCTGTCAGAGCACCCACGAAATGTGCCATCCATCATCAGCCTGACTACGCTCGCTGCAGGACAAAAGCATCTCGCATGATCCGCCAATCAACCTGGTCTTGTGCTTTCCGTTGCCGCATTTATACCCGCAAACTTTTAGGGGCGAAGCTCCTAAAGGCGTAGGTCTGTCCATCCCTTGTATGTACGCGACCGCCTATAGCTCCACCTTTGTAAACTGCCCACTACTTCGTCCTTACAAACATCCCACTACGCCCCATCACCGACCATAAAGCAAATACTCTTGAGAAGTAGCCAATATGAAATGCAAGATGGTCGTGTATTTGTATCCAGGTGCGCATCAGAGGACCATAGATTCTCCCATTGTGTCAATCTCTTGTTGTACGTGACCACTTATAGTTACACCTTTGGAAACTGCCCACTACTTCGTTCTAGCAAACATCTCGCTACACCCCATCACCGATTCCCCCATTTCACCGACCATAAAGCAAATACTATTGAGAAGTAGCCAATATGAAACGCAAGATGGTCGTGTACTTGTATCCAGGTGCGCATTGGAGAACCATAGATTCTCCCACTGTGTCAATCTCTTCTACGTGACCGCTAATAGTTACACCTTTGCAAATGGCACACTACTAAATCCTTGCAAACTTCCCACTACGCCCCATCACCAATCCACCATTTCACCGACCATAAAGCCGTTATAATGAAGGGGGAACGGGAAGAACATATAGCTACCACTTACAAGCAATAAATTTCTTATATAAATATATACAGTGTATGCCACATCTTTGATGATGTAGTGGGCGATATTCACGGATGGTTCACGGTTTAGAGATGAAACCCTCTAACGCTTTGCCCCACTCATCATCATTCACTCCGTGGATATGTTGTGATTTTTTAATGCCATCCATAGTTTCCTATATATATATACATATTGGAGAGAACTCAGGCGCTAGTGTCTATGGGAGCTGCGACACATGGCGCTAGAGCGAGCATGGAAATTATAGGTAGTCCACGGATTTGCCTAGTCTTTGTACTTTACATTCCTTTTGGCTTCGCGTAGCTTAAAGCTGAACGATCGCAGCGCCAGAGTCCCCACTAGTTAATTTTAGGAAACTCTCATGGTGGCACTGGTCGGCTGGCGTAGCGGTAACACTGGAACCTTGCCAAGTGCACGCTCCCTCTTTCCAACAAGACCCCTCTACGGGATTCGTCTTAATTACCATAAATCTAAGTATGTAAAATAAGTGCAAATTTCTTTCTCGGCAATTTCTACAAGTATTGCACTTACAAATAAAATATCACTTTTGTACCATTTTATTCTTATTAAAAGCTCATCACAGAAAACAACCTTCCCCTCTATCACACTTTCGTATGTACGAATGTGGCCACGCATTTGACCTATGCTTTTCCTGCAGCTTCATACCAACAATCAGTAATGGTGCAAACGGCGCTACAAGTGCAATCTCCAGACGTCCCCATCTCTTCTTGACCAATTGAGCAACAACTAGTGCAGGTTCAATAATCGGTAGGTAAGACATCTTAACTAAAGGATGCCTGAGAGAATAGAAAAAAAAGGATGCTATTCGCGATCAAGCACCAATGGTTGCTCAAAACTTTTGAAAGAAAAACTGCACGCAACCTCATACATTGCTATTTTTACTTCCATATGTTTGGCCAACTTCAGATTTTTTCATCATTTTGAAATTTTTATGAGAAAAAAAACAACTTATTTTTCATGCCTTTAACAGTTTATAGAAGCTTCTCCTCTAGTGCATTATGGATAAGTGCACAGCAATGCGGTTATACTTTTGCATGGTATTTCAAGGTTGCGCAACTGTTCAAAAGAACATTTCCACGTAACTGGAGTAGACTCTATGTAAAATTGAGTTACATGACGACACAACAACAGATTAAGCTCCATTATTAGTGCAAACTTGCATCACATCCGTGGCAAAAAGAAAAAAAAAAGATGGAACCTTGTACCAGACTCTTTCTTAAATATGCAACATTAAAAGCGACAATTTTATTATTCAAAGGCATCAAAATCAAACAACACTAAAGAATCCATCTTTCCAGAAACAGTACAATTTTTGACAAACTATCTGCTCTGCTAACAAACATCATTACCAAATGATCTAGCCAATGCTCAAAGAACGAGACAATTTTGATAATGCACTTTTGCACCTTAGGCACTGTTGTGCCAAAAAGCAATAGTGAAAGGGTGCTACTGTTTATTTATTCAATAAACTAATAAAGGACCAAACTATCAACACTGTATCGTCTATAAACTGTTGTTTCTACTACAGTAGCTCACAGCGAAACAATGGTGACCATGTTTTACCATTTTAGTACAGCCTAGCTAACCAGGGTGCCATTCAGGGCACCACGAAGTCCCAAATGTGTCAAACTGACCGTCTCGTCAGCTGTGATTGAGTAAGAGGGCAGCTCTCTGGTTCGAAATGACACACTGGAATGACACATTGGAACTGAACAATCGTACTCATTGCCAATGCACAACCACATTGCATTGACAATGTGGTTGCAGGTAAGAGAATAAATACAGCATACTGGCAGCAAGAAAGCATGCAAGCACACTTATCAGCATGAAAATATCGCTCACACACATCAGCACTACATTGCTCACATCACCAAACCTAAACACTCTAGGAGCAAACAAACTGGGGAACACCCCAGCAAATACAGCAAATGAGGACACAGCGGGAACAAAAGGAAGTAGATGCTTTAGCATCACTTGCATAGGTGTGCGCTTGGGGAGTGGGGTAGGGGGCGTTGGCCACACAACGGAATTGTTGCTATTGGGTGCCAACTCGTCCTCCTCCTTTCACTCAGTCATACATTTTCTCTTTTTCTGATGTGTAAGGTTATTTTTTTTTTTGCATTATTGAGAACAGAAAGCATCTGATGTTGCATTCAAAGAATTACAACATCCTCGTGTTTCACTACAATATCTTTGTGACAACCTTTGAGAAAAGAGTGCAGTACTTAAGGAACATGATCACCTTTGACATTTTAGTGAACTTTCATGCTTTTTGTGAAATTTCAATTTGATTTGATTAATTTGATTGATATGTGGGGTTTAACGTCCCAAAACCACCATATGACTATGAGAGACGCCGTAGTGGAGGGCTCCGGAAATTTCGACCACCTGGGGTTCTTTAACGTGCACCCAAATCTGAGCACACGGGCCTACAAGATTTCCACCCCCATCGGAAATTCAGCCGCCGCAGCCGGGATTCGATCCCGCGACCTGCGGGTCAGCAGCCGAGTACCTTAGCCACTAGACCACCGTGGTGGGGCGATTTCAATTTGCGTGACTATTTGTGTTTTTGAGCTCAGCAAAACACTTGCGCACTGAGTCCAAGTTACGCATTATGTACCTATGTACTATAGCCTTGTGTTTGTCACCTAATATGCGATCTCGATTGTTGTGCAACGGAAGAGGAGTAGCGGGTGCCACGCATTGGCATCAACCTCTCCTTAAATACATTTATTAAAAAACATTTACTTCGCACCTTTACCTCGGACACCTGGAAACCAATTTCAGGTCTTCTCGAGAAACACTTCATTGCTTCCTGTTCATTTTTGCATCCACTGTTAATTGTGCTCTTGTGATTGATTTCCTAACTGGCTGAACTGTTTAGGAAATGGTTCCACATGAGTCGATGCAGAAAACTATCACTGCCAAAAATGAGTATGCGCCCTAGAAATCGGGTCAATCCTCACCATAGGTGCACTAACAATGAAGACGGCAACAGTTAGCCTAGCAAATTACCAGTGAGGGTGTCGAGCTGAAGACCCTCAACATGCACAACGATGATACTAGAGAACAGAAAAGTTTACGATGGCTGCGAGAAGGCCTTTGAAGAGATGGAAAGCATACGCCAACAACAATGTTCCCGTGTCGTATCTGTGACTGTCTGTGGTTTAACTTGTACTTCTATGCACTGAGAATCAACAAAGAAACATCCCAGAAAAAGCCTAGCAACGATCTCGAAACAACCTGCATCACCTAGCTAAGGCCTAGAGACAACCTACAAGAAACTGGATTTTTCTTCAGAATCATTCAGCTTTGCAGTTTCAAGTCTTCTAAGACTTAGTGCAAAGCTTCGAATTTTTTTT